AAATGAATTTATTCCGTCAAATCAAGGACTACAATCAAATTCATTTGTAATCATTCCATTTTCCACTTTTCCTGATTTTCGAGTTTGCCCTCCCAAGTTTCTCTTCCTGTAGCTTAAAAATCAACCTACAATTTCTTCACTTTTTCTTCTAGGAATGGCCCACTTGCTGACCAAAATGTTTGGACTACTGTTCACATGTGAAAATGCAGAAGACGTACGTGCATCCACTTTAAAATTTTTTCAACAAATTGGTACAGCCATTACATTTTTAAAATTATTTTTCTTTTAGGCGTGGCCCACTTACTTTCACGTAAAAATGTTTTGACGAAAATATTTGGAGTGTGAAAAATAATTGGTACATGCATATGTTTATTGGCCCAAAAGCAGAACAATATTTTGACGTGAAACATTCACTCATTGCGCTAGAATATGCTCATTATAAATTCGACACAAATATCGAATCCCTATTAAGCGACTTCGTACAATTTTTTAAAAGTTCTACAAATTCACGTTTCGCTTAACATGTGAAGGTCAACTTTGTTGTGCCATATAATCGCGAAGTTGGTCCCATTCACTGCGTTGCATTTCCGGTGCATACATATCGGCTTGGATTTCGTCATCGGCGGTGGGTAAATCGACTTCATACGCATCATCATCTGTTTCTGCTCTATTAAAGGCCTCATCCACCATGCCAAAGGAACGTAAAAAATTATGAACGCCCATCGTTGCGACAACAATCGCAACCTGGGTCGGAAATGAATAGCTAGGCATACAATCTAGTATTTGCCATCGTTTTTTCCACACCCCAAATGTTCGTTCGATAACGTTTCTACATGACGAGTGCCTATAGTTAAACCTCTCACGAGCATTTCGAAACCGTCTACGACTCCCGGATCCATCATCGCGGAACTCTTGAAAATGATACAATATATCTGACCCTTTGTAAGGGGCCATGTAGCCCGGATCCATCATCGCGGAACTCTTGAAAATGATACAATATATTCGACCCTTTGTCAGGGGCAAAATCGCCCATTTCCACTACAACTTTACAGGCTTTGTACGTTTCATCTCAGAGGTACTGTTACAACGTTCCAAAAAAATTCTAATTAGTGTGGAACAAATGAGCACCAAACACAGGCTCAGTAAAGAA